TTTTAAACTAACTAAAAACCAACTGACCTTCCTCAGGACTGAACCGGTGAGCGTATATGATTATAAGGCGAGTGATTTAACTAGTTACTGAGCCTTCTCAGATTCCTTATCGTTATTTTATCAATTTTTGGAGTAAATCAACAAAATAAAACTATCTATGTATTAACTTAAGTTATGCCTCCAGTAGTATCATCAAAGGCAAGGTAAGGTCAGGCACACTTTAAAATGTACCCTAAAATAAAAAGTGAACATTTAGTTGATATCACCCCTTTCAAACGTTTTAGGACTTGAAACGCATGCCAAAAAGGTCAACATCATAATACGATCAAACATTTACTTGCAATATCTAAAATCAAATAAAATCCTGATACACCTTATATTATTAAAGTATCATCATATTCTAGTAAAAATCAATCCAAACCCTTAGAAATCCAGCATCAAGTGGGAAATCTCGCTTCGATTTTCTTTCTTGATTGGTTTGTGAATATTTAAAAAGAGAAGCGACATTCGCGGCTCCTGTTCCATTAAGTTGAATATTTCACACTTTGTCGCCTGCGATTTAGAAGTGTTTTTCTTGTTTTTTCACAACCATGTGCAAAAATGCTTTAACTGAAACTAAAATATAATTTAGTAAATAATTTGTTTAGGACCTAACAAATTACTTAAAAAAAAAAAAAAAACACTGAAATGTCAGAGGGCTTATAGACAGTTACACAAATAAATCTTCTATATAATATTAAAACGAAACAGGGTTTTTTTATTTCACGATTCTAAATCAACCACTTGACGGATTTTCATGATTTTTGTGTTGGAAGAAAGATAATTTTGAGAACTAGGGAATGTCGAAGCCATAATTTTAGTTTAGGGTTTAGTTTTTTAGAAATTAAGTTTTAATTTTTAAAAAGTCTAGCAGCTGACACTAGCAATTTAAAGTATTTTCAATGCTGGTTTAACTAACAGCTGGTTTATAACTGTCATTGAAATGTTTTTGTTACGAGTTGTTTGTTTACAAAAATATACGTTGGTTTGGAAATTGAATTAAAACAAATAATAGTGTAAATAGTCACCTAAATATTAAAAATATAATTTTTTCATTTAGTTTATAAACAATCATTTAGTTAAAATTTGTATCCAAACATGACGTGTTAATCAGTTCAAATTTGTTAACAAACAGCTACCTATCAGTAACAAAATAATTACAAAACATGTATACATTGTTCTTCTGTGTCCATGAAAATATACCGATAAAACTATTGTATTCTCAAAATCATAAAACTTATGAATTTTGTGAGCAGAACCTGCACCTCTTAACCTCTGCTCTTTGATCAGATTTGTGCCCTGATTTACGATAATAGTGGTTGCCTTTCTTACAAAATGTAATACAAGTTTACCGTTATTTTATTTTTGCTTACTGAGATATTTACATAATGAGCTGCAGGTAATGATTCCTGACAAAAGTTCAGTAGGTAGTGTACACCATAGTCCATCTATTTGATGTGAAATCATTATATTTTTTTTTAAATTTAATACAGTACTCTATGATATGAAATTCTTTTTTACCCATCAATTTTTACTAGGAAGCCTTATTATTATACTAGGAAGTTATATACAACTTATAACTTATCATTAAGTTATAAGTTAGCCTTGAAAGAAAGATATTTTTTTTTCAAACTAAGTGGTCTAATGAAATTTTGTTCCTGAAATCAAAGGTGGTTGTGTAACTATTTCATACAACAGATTTAAACATAAATATTTTCTCTTCAGTGTCCTCTCCGTTGCAAAGTACGGGTACAGCAGCTAGTATTGTATAAAGAAAACACTTACTTTTGACATACCATTAGCTGGCATAATGCCTCCATGCTAAATTATACTTAGCTTACCATTCACAAAATAAATATGTGGTTTTACATGAAAGAATCATAGAGATCATGAGTTTTTATGAATATAAAAGGTATTTTACAATAAAAGATCATCATTGTTGTTAGACACTTTATGATTTTATTTTACATTTTGTATTTACAACATAATTTGCCGTGACAGTCATTTATAAACACAGTGGCTTTATACAGCGGATAAATGTTAAACTAAACGTTATAAGCTATAAATAGATGTATGATAATCAAGTTAGGTGTCAATGCTTGTATTTATAATAAATTACAAATATTTTCAATTTAAGTACCTATTTACAAGAATGTGGTCTTAAAATTAGTTACTGTTGTCTACTAGTCTGGAAGATTCGAGATTTGTAAGAAAACGATATAATAAGATTTAGTAATAAAACTGAATGGCAAAATGTTACAACAGTATTATTTCTTAGTGTGCATAAATATTACATATTACAGAATGGAAAGAGTATTTAATGACCGAGTTTGAAATTAACTTAAACTCAGGCATACTAGAAATGTTGTCAACTCTAACTGGTGGGAAACGCGTCTTTGTGTTACTTTGTGATGGAAAAACTATTTATTTGCAAATATAAACTAGTGACTGAAGGAATTGAAATCCTACAAAACTCTGCTATATCTAAAATCAAAACATAACTTTACCATCTATCAAATATACGTCCAAATATATGTTGGCTGTTTAGGTACAAATATTATACCGGGTGTACACAAAAGAAGTAAACAACTTTGTTTTAAAATTATAGCGAAGTTTTACTAACTTATAAAGACTAACATACACCATTAGAAAGAGAAAAACCTCAAGTTTTTTCCTATATACTACAAGTGTTCAATATGTGAACCTCGGCTTGCTTTGCAGACATCTATTCTAAAATCAAATTCTGACCAAACCTTTTGAAGAGTGGCTTCATTAACACTTTGTACTGCAGCAGTAATGCGATTCCTGAGCTCCAAAAGAGTCAACGGCAAAGGAGGAACAAAAACTCTGTCTTTCACATAACCCCACAAAAAAAAATCACACGGGGTTAAGTCCGGGCTTCGTGGAGGCCAACGTAAGAGGTGTAAGTTGTCGTCAGCAGCACGGCCAATCCAGCGCTGCGGTAGACTCTCGTCAAGGTAGTCTCTTACATCGTGCAGCCAGTGTGGCGGTGCACCATCTTGCACCCAAACAAAGTCTTCACTGTCTTCCTCGAGTTGAGGCATCAACCATTCACTCAGCATGTCTAAGTAAGCATTTCCTCTGACGGTTGCTTCTTGAAAGAAAAATGGACCATACACCTTCTTCTTTGATACAGCACAAAATACGTTCAGCTTAGGTGAGTCTCTCTCATGTTCAACAGACTCTCGAGGATTTTCGGTCCCCCAAATTCTTACATTGTGTCTGTTTACTTTACCACTTATGTGGAACGTTGATTCGTCGCCAAAAATGAGTCTTTCATAGAAACCATCTTCTTCCTGCAGTTCCTGCAGATCACTACAAAACTCAAAGCGTTTCACTTTGTCGCCATCGTTCAGACTTTGCAACAACTGCAGTTTGTACGGAAACATCTTCAGACGTTTTCTCAAAACCTTCCAAATCGTGGAATGCGGCATTTGAAGCTCCATACTCATCTTCCGCGTTGATTTCCTCGGAGTGTGTACAACAGTTGCACGGACTAACTCAACCTGAGCATCAGACGTCGCTGGTCTTCCAGAGCTCTTTCCTTTTCTTATGCAACCCGTGGCCTTGAATTTCCGATGCCAATCGTAGATTGATTTCCTATTTGGAGGGTCTCTATGATATCGTGTCCGAAAACGACGCTGAACAGTGGTAGCAGATCGAGTTCTTTCAAACTCCAGGACACAAAACGACTTTTCTGTAAGAGTATTGACCATTTTCAACGAAATCACTAAACGACTACTTTTGCCACATTGTTGGCATTGTTGACAACAGTCAGCTGTGTGGAACAAAACTTGAGGTGTTTTCCAACACATTGATACCAACCACAGCGATGTCGAACACGTAGTTTTTGTTATATTAACGTACAAAGTTGTTTACTTCTTTTGTGTACACCCGGTATAAAGCGCTATCGGGAATACATACGTAAGAGTTAGTACTTACAATATTAAAAATAATCGATATGAAAATTTGACTCACTACATTTTATCACTAAATTAATAGATTGTATTAAAATAGGCCAACTGTGGAAACAAGCGAAAACCAACAACAAACAAAACAACACTATTCCTACACTCAAAATATATTCTTTGTAACATCATTCAAAACAATCACTAAGTCTAACAAATAGTACGAGATGTTACTTAAATAAAAACAAAATATGAAAGTTCAGATATGTTTCTCATTCGATTTGCGAAATTTCGTTTTAAAAGGGCAAATCAGTTTTTGTTATAAACTGTAACCATTCTAATCTAAAAGTAATCATAATAAATAATTTCAATGATTGAAATTAACTTTTACTGGTAAAGGTTAATTAAATATATTTAACGAATCAAATAGTTACAATAAATGTTCAATAACTTAATAGAGTCTAACTACTGTATTCATATGAATACTTAATATTTAATGTATAAATACAAAATGAGTCTTACGTACTAAATAACATTCACACTTTTAACGTATCTAAATCAATACATTCATCAACAAATCATTTTATGTGTAATCTGTATACAGTCATGTTCAAATATGCTAAAAATATTATTTAATTGTATATACACAACTGTAAGCAAACAGTGTTCAAAAAAGGAAATATTGAAATCATGCTAAACCCTCTGGGGTTATCAACTAACTAAAATATATCTTGAAGATAAAACACTCTGAAAATGAATATAACTGTCAAAATTATTAGCTTTGCTAAAATTGATAACACCTTATTTTGGGCGTTCCCTGACTGTAGGCCCCATCTTTTATAAGTTTCAAAAGTAGAATTGGCTAGCTATATAAGATATTATTTCATGCAGTTTCAAACTTTAAACTAACGACTTTCTGCCCTGAAAAAGTGGTGCCCACAGTCATGATCTCCGACTATCAAACTACGCTTCCAAATGAAGGAATATAAAAAGTTGCTGATTTACAGTGATATGGACCTTTTTATTTATTTTTCTATACAAAACTGGAGAAACATTGGGTATAATACTGGATGAAGGACTAAATGAGTCTCGGCTCACTCTTGGGCCTTGAGTTCCCCATTGATCAAGGGTTTCATGATGTGATCTCCTTCCATCATGGATGAGGTAGAGTCCTGGAACACGGAGAAGAGGTTTAAAGCTAATGTCAGTAAGTAGGCCAGTCAAGATATGAGCATAGATCACAGTTATACAGTTGAAAGTTTAAATAGAGAGGTCGAAGGTAGAAAACCTAACCTTGCCCGTAGTATTCACTCTCAAAAAGTTAATTTTCACACACGTAATAGTGCATTTCGTACCTAGAGCCGAAAATGAGGTTTGGCTGGTTCGAGATAGTTATGATCGAGAGCTGCATAACCATTTCGGTCCGTGGTACGAACGCTATTTTTCACCGCACTATACACTATTACCACTATTCACTGCAATAATAATGCACACTGATAGTCAACACAACTACTACTTTAAGGTTATGCAAATAAATAATTTGAGGAATCATCAAAAATAATAATAAATAGTTGCTAGGCAGCGGTGACAATAAAACAATTCTATTGCAATGCTATGGATACTAATTGTGTATTAAATATGCATTCATGTTTTAAGAAAGTAAGCGGGCAGTTGATTTTGCGACCCTAGGGATGTAAAAACCTGCTCGGTTGCCAAATGACGATCACAGCTGGCATGGCCAGCAAAACTTAACTTTCAACCACCAATTAACGTATCTAAAATTGCTAAAAACACCATAGTGTGGTGAAAAAGTAATTTTTACTGACTCTCTTGACGTTAATGTGGTAAAAATGTAAAACTTTTACCACATTGTTTGGTAAACTATTTTCATTGTAAAGAAACTACCCCACAATACTTACAATACGCAGGGCGTGCATGATACAGGCCTGCGCGGTGGACTCTACTTCTAGAAGCTCATCCTCCATATCTACGGGTGACGTCATCACCTCATCCTGGTCCCCAACTGACTTGTCGTCCTGTAGAACGTAAAACAACCAGCTGTAGTTCCAAAATCATCAAATAAGGAAAATTGAATCATCATTGAATGTGTTAGCTACCAAATTCATCAAAATATCGCGCTTTCAGCAAAAATAGGGTACAAAATGAACGTGGTTAAGTAAGATGATTTACCAGATTAATTATATGAGATTAAAGACTGTAAACACAAGGTTAAACTACCTGGGAGTGGCGCCAATTATTGGTAGTCAATTTACATTTACAACTGCTGTACTTAAGTGCGGAAATGGAAATGGCTGGGTATAATGATCATGAAACACGAAATATGCTTCGTTGGATTTTTTTTTGTATTGAGTTTTCTTACTCTCTGGTTTGCTATCTCATAGAGTCTTAGAGTTCCTGTCACAGTCAGCAATTGCTTTTGAATTATTTTAGAATGTTGATGATCTATATTAAAAAAAATGAAATTGTAACCATACAGAATAGTTTTCAAACAGAGCAACCCGGATACTTAAGGAAATAATCCTAGCAGGATCACGTGAACTTTCAAAGATATATTTGACTTTGAGTGGAATATGAGCATAATATAAAATTCAAATACAACATCTGATGGAATCGTATAAACAAATTGTATTTCCATAGAGCTGTTTGAAAACATATGTACTTGAAAACAAAACAGCATTTGAATATTAGACATCATTTCAGAAATTGTGGACAAAATTAATAAACTTCTTGCTTGAATTAAAACATAATTTATAAATAAAAAAATACTTTTTAAAATACGCTTTTAATCGGACTTAAAAGTTAAATTAAATAATTTATTCTCTCCACATATGGATTGTCTAGACAATTTGTGATTGTAAATATGTCGTAGCTATGAAAATACTTGTAAGATTTAAAAAGAAAATTATTTTCTACTATTTAGTCTTTAATGTGTAAATATGTTAAATCTATTTTAAGCATCTATATCAGATTAAGACAGAGCCATGTGGGAAATATTTAATGGCAGGAATAGATTTTACATCCTCTAAAAAGTTGTTTGGCAGTTTACAAAACATATAATTATAAGCATGGGTGCAAATCAAATGTCCCATGCCGAGGTTCCTTTATGCATAACACCGTCCATACGTTAATACGGTAAACTTAATACATAACCATTTTATCTGTAATCAGATGTTTCATATTTACGTTCAAATGTTTTTATAATTACATTTTGGGTAATTGTGAGTTTTAAATTAAAATATTGAACAAATCATGTTATATAAATAAAATAATTCAATATTGCTTTATCACCCATTTGTGAGCCACGTTTAAAGTTTCAAGTCTCTAGGTCATCGGGAAGTAAGTTTAAAATCGATCGCAAAATTTGTACCGAACAGACAAGAAAGTGAGCTAATAAACTGAATAGCCTAAATAGTTATATAGGTCACACTTATATCCATAGTTTGAAAAACGTGATTGCAACGAAAACTAACAAATCCACCAAAACCCGTTACAAAATAGTTACAAGGCACGGACGTTTGATGGGATTTCCATCAGATACAGATTGATGAAAAGTTGACAGTCATGAGCAATTATGTGGACAGCAGATCTAAGGGTGAAATGAAGGGGCGTTCGGCCGTCAATCAATGAGGGCGGGTCTGACACACCCCGCCACACCCTACTGATAACACGATAACCCGATAATACGTCATTAGGCGAACTTATCGGAAATGTAACTCGGCATGTGTTAAGGGCTGAGGGATTTTTAAATATTGTCTATTCACTAATTACACATCTTAAAATACTAGGTTCCATTTCAATTCGGGCTATAAGGTCGTGGTTATATGAGATAGCTAAAAACCATTTGTGGTCAAAGCGTTTTGAACCTGGGACATCGGTTTGAACGGACAACCACGTGAAATATGTCAATCTTTCAAAGATCGGATTTAATTTGCAAGTCTATGATACACCACCTCCTCTAAAGGACGCATACAGTGAGTCATAATAAAAAATCAAACGCGAGCATTTGAGCTTTTAGTATCTATTTTGTAAAAAAAATTACTTTCCCAAGAATCAAGATCCGAAAATCAGATACTATTTTAAAAGCAGTAATGTCCATCAATGTGTGGAAAATAAGAAACTCGAGAAACTTTCCACACTCACCTGCGGCTCGTGCGAAAACAGTTCTCTCATGTGCAGTAAAAAGTGCTACTTCGCACACTAGTTACACAAATAACTATTGTTTATGAGAAACAGCAGGGGAAAAGGCATTTAAACTGTTATTTCACCTATAAGCTGCTTGTTCTTCACTTGGCAATGTTTAAAGAAGTGTACCAAACAGCAGAGAGCCAAACCATTGTTTTTATCTCATTAATTTTCTGGCTAATTTACAGCAATCAAGTTGTTTGCCAATGCTTCTTAATTAACAGTAAGGGGTTTTCTGCATCTACGATAGCAAATATTCATTATATTATGTGTTATCAGAGACTCGTCATACTGCAATGTGATAATGGACACGTCAATTCAGTAGACTGTTTTAGTTAGATACATCCACATTATTCGCCCTATCAATTTGAGTTTTTTTTTTTTTTAAAGAAAAATTTAAATTACCACATATTTGGTGATAAAGTAAATTAATTTAACATTCACTAATTTAGTGTTAGAATTTCCAGTCCTACTAGTAGGTATAGTTACGCGGTAAGTATGCCCTTTCTAAGCAGCATGTATCCTTTGACTGTCGTTTGTATACTTTGATTATTTTTTTTGTGCGTGGATTTGGTAAAAAACAAAGGTTTTAATTATCAACCATAATTATGCCATTTAAAATATCTGTGGCTAAGTTGCATATGAAATAAAGTAGGCCTAAATCTGAATAAAAAAACTATCAATTTAACATCTAGACAGTCCTTAAAAAACCAAATAGGACTTTTCAGTTGAAACTGCTTTAACTGATCGGTGGAGTCCAGCCAACCCACCTGACCTGGTGCACGTAAAGAGAAGCCATTCACAATATACTCACATGTTTCTGTATCTAGTATCTGTCCGCAATTGAATTTCCAGAAGTTATACAGATTATGATTGTGATGCGTTCACTACAACAGAGTTTTCCACGATCCCTCTTGTTTCTGCATTTCTCCTTACAATATACCCCAACATGTTCACACCGATGGTCCAGCTTACCTCCTTGCCGTTGGGTGAGACAGGTGGTGTAGTCTCCAGGGTGGGCGACAGTCTGGAACTCTTGGAGGACCCTAGCTCGTAGATGTTGAGCATGTGCGCCGCCTGGACATGTTCCATCAGGTCCCAGGCGCTCAGGAAGGAGTCCTTGCATTGCACACAGAGCAGCGCTGCGGTGTCGTGGCCCGGTGACTCTGTAGATGCATGAATATTGTGAAGTTAATATTTTTTCTATTCAGAAAATGAATAGGAAACTCGTGAGGAAATACGATTCAAATGAGAGATTCCAATGGTTTGAAGGTCATTTTTTGTTATGGTTATCTTATGTTACTCAATGATGTTATTTGAAAATCAGATTCCATCTCACCTGAAGACGGGGTGTTCTAAATCCAGAATACGGGATCATATTCTGGTTTTAGTAACCGTGATGGAAAATTTCTGCAATAATCTCCTAATTAATTTCAACACTGCTTTGTACATGACGAAACATTCATGTTTTTACTGAAAGCGTGGGTGGTTATCGTAAATGCGTAAAACAAAACTGAGGAAAATTAGGTTCTAATTTGGACTCAGCTATCTTTGGTGATTGAGGCTTTATAATACATCTGGTTAAAGAAAGACATGGTAAAAAGCAGAGGGTCCTATTTTTTTAAGATAAAAAGATAAATACTGTCATCTTAATTTTGTTAAAATAGGTCTCAAAAAGTGTATCCACCTTGGATCCTGATCTAGACTTTCAATGTATGATGTTGTGCATAATGAACTTGTACTTTAACACTTGTAGTTGAAGTCTTGTAACATAAAATATACAGTACATTAACTTTACATTTTATCGGACATATATAATGGATTCGTAATAACTATAAAGTTTATAAAGGCCATGACAAGACGCCTGGATTGTCTTTAATCCAAAAATCATGACCAATAGTAATGACTTTTTTCGGTTTTGCAGTTGGAACCAAGATGTGTGTGCCAATGTATACTTGTTCAAAATAAAATGTGATACTCACTGGCATACGCTCCGTTGGTGGTGGTACATTTGCAGGTGAACCGCAGTTTGCAGTATGTCTTCTTGTGTTCTACCAACTCTTGCAGCTCTGTGAACATCTCTCTGCAGTTGCCGCAGATCAGGATGTCAGGGTTGCCTGTAACACAAGCACATCAAGTCCTGCAAATTGTGTAGGAAACTGCAAGTATAATGTAGTCGCATAAGATCTTTAATGCTATAGGAGATTTGAAATGGTTAAATGTATCCAAAGATTTCATATGATCAATTATCCTCCAATTAAATTTTTTCTGTCAAGGTCCTGGGAAAAGGGTCTTCATCTGAAAGATGTATTGTCATCTGAAATGTTATGGATTTTGTAAGAGTAACTCCACACAAAAGCGTGCACATTCTCAAAGTGTATTTACTTTTGGACAATGATTGTTTTTGTCGGTTTTGTAAAATAGTAGACAACCACTAAACAAACAACTGTTTTAATGATTAATTCAATATCACAACAGATTATTTTGTTTGACTCCATTTTTTCTGGATTCTTAGTGGGACGAACGCATCTGATTGCCCGCTGGAACGAATCAGCTTTGCTTCTAGCTGCCACAAAAATATCAACTAAGAGCCGTTTTTATTTGTTTTTGTCAACTGAAGGTTTCTCGAAATCCATTAAATCCGTCACTTTATTTCGAATTCATTTAGCATATTGGTATAATGGGAAAACTTCCTTTCTTAACATTCAAAGTCCATCATTTTTGTGACCATCATTTAAGAATCTAAAAACACAACGCGTAGGCTACAACAACAACACTGTTTAAAACACAGTACACTATTTTAACACAACATTTTAACAAAATCGTTAAATGTGTTTAAACTTTGTCTAATATTTATTGGCTAGCTTCGTTGATAGCCAACTGACAAAGCTCATAGGCCTACTATGGATTTTGGAAAATTTTTATGCACACGAGAACGTGATCGGTAAGTTTACTAGAGTCTAGCTGACTTCCGCAGCCCCTTTTAGTAAACAATTACTTTCTTGTCTACAAAGAGTACAGAAACAAACTGATTACTGTGTAGCGTGGTGGTACATTCATGATAAAGCGGAATTCAGTACAATTCAACTATTTTGTATTGTACTCTTATTACCACCGTTATCAAATCGTCACCTTTAAAAATAGATGTATACTAATGGTTAAGCCCACCGCATTGGGGTAGGTAGAGGTAAAGGTGGGTAGAGGTAGAGGTGGGTAGAGGTAGAGGTAGGGAGGCAAGGTGGATCGATTGAGTGGGTTTGTGGGTTGCAGAGGGTGGACCAATCTGACACTTACTGTACACCTTGAGTTGGCCGAGAGGTAGAGGGGTCGGGGGCGGCGGGCTGGACTGCTTGTGCTGTGCCGCCCCCGCCGCCTTCGCTGCCGCCCTCACGGGGGTTGCACCCATCAGACGAGGACGCTTCAGGGGCGGCACCAGTCTAGGCGCTAGGAACTGCGCGGAGGCGTAGTAACTGCAACAAACAAGTTCTCGTCAATGAATGAGTTTTATAGGTCAAAGATAAAATGGTTTTGCCAGCTGATGATTTTTAATTGAGTAAGGTTGTAATTGAAAATTATCAGTAAATTAGAAAGTTGAGTGTGAATTTAAATTACACAACACTATTAGGGTGAATTGAAATGATATCTTTTAAAATTTAAATATAGTATATTTCATCACAAGGGCGTAAAGTGAATCTTTACAACCGGAGCTCAAGTTTCACTTGGGAAAAGAGCGAGTGTTAAAAAGGCACTTTTTCCCCGTGTCATGAATAACATTTTTCGTCATATTGCATCTTGAACTAAGCCAGAAAACGAAAATGCGTTTCATGTAAATATAACCTCTTAAAACGACTTCAATGTTTGTTTTCAATTCTGTTAATGTAAATAAGCAGCGCTATTTCAATCATTAAAGCGATTCAATCATTTTGTCTATTACGATTGTGTTGTACATTATACAATCAATACGTAGACATATTGACAAGAATACAACAAGAATCTAAAACCTAAACTAATAAATCCATCGATAAATAATTTTGAACCATGCAATTTCTTACAATCGAAATTTACAACAGCTGACTTTTACTCCCTAGGGACTAAAAAAGATTTTTACTCCAGGAGTACAAATGCAACTTTAGACTCCGCAAGGCAAGTATTTAAAACTGCTGATTTTGCTGTAATATGTGGATAATTAATATTTTACTGAAACAAAGAAAAAGGGGTAAAACATACACGTCTACATCAATGTGAGGAAAGATAGTATATTTCATAACAGGTGTAGAAAGTGAGTCATATCATAATAGACCATATTATGTTTGATGTGCGATTCACTCGTGTGTTGACTACTACTTTTCGCTACATTACAAGGACCAATAATTATTTTTGAAACAAAACAGAAATTTGATATCTTATTTCACAGTTAAGAACATTTACAAGTACAAAATTCAAATTTACATATATTTGGTTGTTAAGAATTGAAACAGTTGTAAAAATTAAACCTGTTTGAGGTTTATGTAAAAAAAAAAACAACAATGTAATGATGTATTTTCATATGTGATTAACATAATGAAAACATATGATTTAACTATAGTGTAGCGAAAAAGGGGATTACCATCTCAATATTGTCAATAATTACAATTTTTCGTCGTACTTGCAAAACAGCTGATTTATATACATGTGTTGCGGGTTTAAAGAAACTCCTTTTCACACGGAGTAAATAGTATATTTCAGAACAAGACTAGAAAGTGAGTCATTGCATATTTGAGACCATGTTTGAACTGTGAGATTTATCGAGCACTTTAAATGCTCGAGAATAAGTATCGACCCACTTTTACTCGTGTTTGAACGTTACTTTTTGATACACTATAAAGAATAATTATTTTCTTCATTACAAAACTCATAGAATTTGTTTAAGGTTAGCCTTCAATTTAAATTTAATATTTACTTTAGTTGTTGAAAATTGAAACAGTTGATAAAACAATAAGAAATATTTGAAGTGGTTGACAGTGAAATATTTTCGTCTGTAAACAATATTACTTTCGGTAGTAAACAATAGACAGCTGTTGAAAATATGATGTTTCGCAGGTTGTAAACACATAACGAAAACAGCTCAACTCATGGTAGTGTAGTGAAAAATAAAATTTATTTGACAGGAAGTAAAAATCACTATGGATACGATGATGTCAGCGGTGCATTTTGTTCACATGTTAACATCCATTGTAAGAAATCGGTCGTATCAAAAGTAACGGTTGAATCGTTTGTTTCCAATCTATTTCACTGCATAAATACATAGTTTTCCAATGGATTCACTTTCGTTTACATTGAATCGAAGAAGAAGAATGACGTGAGAAAAGAGTTTGCACTGAAAGCCTAATTAATTCAAGAAAACACTAATTTATTCCGTAAATATTCGATATAGTGGTAGTCAAATAAATTACTTGGGGTCATTTTGAATAACACTTTCAATTAATTCACAAAAATACAGTCAGTTTACCTTATGAAAATTAACTCAAAACAATATTTATGACAAGTTTCTGTCCCTGGTATGTAGAGTGCGTTTTGATGTTGCGATTTATTTCTTGTTATTTTGCCAGCTTCAAAACTATTTCCAACTAATAAAAGCACTATTTATAAACCGTTGATTTTCCTCAGGCATTATAAGAAAAGTATATAGACTTGAAACGTTTCTTTTTAAAGAGATAAAAACATTAAGTCTACATCAGCACACTTACATCCAACTAAGTATGAAGTACACATTAAAATAAGCTTTACCCTTAGCAAAATAATATGTTTTTAATGTTCATTATCTAACTTTAGTGAAATAGCTCGGCTTAAAGTTTTAAAAGACCAAAATTACTGTTTTTTTAAATTTTGAATAAGCTTCACCGTAAGCTCTTTGACCCAGTAGTTCAATAGACATGACTTTGCTCTTACTACTCTATTTTAGAAAGGAAATCTAATGTATTTAACCTTTCTGTCATGAGCATTAAACATCCAACAATAACAGTAAACTGGGATTTGGCTTGGCTCCTGAACTCAACACTTGTTCTGTTGTAAGTAAGCCGTCATTCTCTGAGGTTTACGATGTCGTTAACAGTTTAACACTGTGTGCCAAGACAAATTATAAATATTTTACGTTAAATTGTTTTCATAAATAATTTCAATCTGGTTTCGAATCAACGTATTCTCTTATATTTTTTTTATAGAATAAGCTAAAGAGTAATACTACTTGTTTTCTTGATGCACCAATGACACCACTAGGCCAATCGCAACCCAGAACACCATAGTCCAGTCACAGTGTAGCTTTGGATCAGTTTCTTTTACTTTCTGGAGAACTGAATGCATAGCCACATAACTAAAATGCATAACAACTGAATAACATTACATTTATTTTTATAAATTTGTAAATTATCATTATTATTTTCATTATTAATTGAGATGGGGACGTCACTTAAGTGAGTATTTTAACCCAAATACAAGTGAAATGAGACATCTGTGTAGTTTTGTTGCTGACTATCTGTTTCATTAGCCAGGATCATTTATTTAAAGCCTAGGGGATCATTTATTTATCCCTGGGACAGCTGGGTCCAGTTTCGGGCCATCAAAAAGCTACCGACTGTTCTCAGAGTCGATCCGGCGACCCTTTGATTGTTGGGCGATCAGTATAACCACTACCCCAGATACCCAGCCGGTCAACCGATTTGTATTTAAATGTAAGGAAATTAGATCAATTTTGATTTACTTTCTGCGCCTTAAAATTTGCGTGAAAACTATGTAAACTTGTATATAAATTTACCTTCTAGCAAAATTACACATTCCCTTCATCTAAAAATGCCTCTACTCGTATGAACAACAAATTGCCTGTTAAGGGGTTGTAACCCTGAAGGAGCGGAAGATTGAAGCTTGATACACTGAAGTAATCTAATCACGGGTTGACTTTCAGAGATGCTGCACTGCATTACTTCATACACAACAGATCTCATACTACAGTAACTGTCAGATTGAATTAGTGAGTGTGCAAACAAAGATTCTTCGCACTCAAACGTAAGATTAACTTTTGTCACAACACAACTTCAGATTGAATTGAACATCAAATTGACTTTAAATGATAAAAATGTTGGCCAAATATTTGTTAACTATTTTAGTGACTTTCCTTTGTTGAAGATGACCGTTTTTAACTACTCCAGTCATAAAATTGGTTAATAATAATTTGTTTCTGTATAAAACCTTTACGATTGAAACCAGGGCACTCTAATGGAAATTTAGGAACAATTAGTGATAGGCCTACTTCATGCACTTTAAGCTTCTATTTATCATAGTTTTATGGCTAATATTATAAAATTTCAAAGTCAAAATATGATTTGGTCACTGATCCCCAAAATGTTCACTATCCAAATGAGGATTAACCAACATGTTGAATTGCATATTTAACATATGTGCCACTAGTGTTAACATAAAGATAATTTTATGAATACAGAGTATGAGAAGATTTCTTACAAACAAATATTGTGATGAACGAAACAGAAAAAACACTTTCGAAGACGTTCTTGGCGCGTCGATGAGTGGAATTAATTCTGTCAGTAGTTTGACAAATTTTTATGGTTTGTCCTAAGATTATTAACCTTTTGTAATGTATACAATAAATTGACATACTAAAAATACTAAAATGACATAAATAAAATAACAAAAAACCTTTTGAAACCTGGAAAAGTTTCAATTTTAAAGTAAATACCTTGAATCAATTTAAATAAATTGTCAATTCCATGACGATAGAAAGAGTATAATTTAATTTTATTTCATATGTTTTCCTATTTTGAAAGCGTAGGCCTACATTTATATCGTGTACCACATAGCAAAGGAACGAGCATTTAACACCATTGTTAAGGAACTGGAAACGATTGTTTTTATTTCAAACACTTTTTCACTTTTGCGTGGTTTGAAGCAGGTCTTGTCCGGTTTCAAGTGTTGGCGTGTTTAAGTGTCCAAGGACCTAAGAGTCCCCTACACGACGAGCTCATTAACCCCTCGTTTTCCTCTCTTTTCATTCCAAAGTGTTCCAATTTGGTTCACAGTAGGGGGGCGGGGGGAGCCAAGCTGTCGGCTAATGATTATTCCTTACTAATCACGTATGTTGATGATTCCAAATATAGAATTGAAGAATAAAAAACGATCTGTTAGTTGTGTATGTTTGGTCAAAGCAAAAAAGTATAACATTTCATGCGTTTGTATACATTTTTTCACAATATTGTTTTAAAGTCAGATTTTTTGTTTTTGTACAAAGATAGTTCCAAATAACGATTACAATACAAAATCAAATATAAGTTTCTTAAACAACATCAGACCATGTATTTTCCTTCAAAATAGTTAAAAAATGCTTTGGTATAATTTTGAGAAGTAATTTGTTAACCACGGTTGGATTTTTTTATATGACAATGAAAATATAATAAACCGATGAAAAACACTTCGTAGATTAAAC